GTGGTATACCATAATACTTACTACTTTTCTACTGCTATGCTGTTTCCTTCTGTTATGACACCATCAGAGTTTTCTGGTTAAAATCAGGACAAAAGAAAAGGTCATAGCATTGCCTGCTGCTTTGGCAACTTCGGATGGTGGCAGCCCATATGTTTAAATCAGTGTGTGATCAGTCACACACCAGCTTGCTCTGCGGCTCAGGCTACCTAAGTCTCTATACTTTCCCTTGGTTGTGTTTCCCCTGTCAGCACAGAGGCCCCACTCTTCTCTGAGCATCTGTATGAGGAACAGAATGTTTAACAGGAACAGAGCTGATTTCTATCTAATTGTCTTATCCACAAAGGGGGGATTGAAATACGCCAGTCCTAGGTCTGTCAGCACTCTCAGCAGTGATCACGAGGAGAGCTGAGATCAGCACCTTTTCCATGCGCTGCATTAAGATGGTGGAGATTGCAGCAATTACCAAGCCTGGGGTAGAATGGTATACATAGACAATGCACTGATGATATACATTGATACCAATAATGAACTTAATACCAGTAGAAGATTATAGGGCACAGGATTATAGGGACCCACTATGGTCAGGCCAGGGCACGGCCTGAGGTTGGCAAGAGAACTAAGAATATTGCTTGTTTTCTCTTTCTTTTTATGCCAGTGGTGATAAGAATAATTTTTAAAAATTGAACTACAATTTCAGCCCTTTTGATGTGGACTTCATGTGGCTGAGGAAGGAGTTGTAGGCCAGCCTAAGCTACAAAATGAATTCCAGGACATACTGGACTGGAGAGCAAGACCTTGTTTTAAAAAAAAAAGTTTCCTTTTTTTAAATTTCTATTAGATATTTTAATTTTACTTTGGATATCCGGTCAGCCTTGGGGACAGAATAATGCTAACTTAACACACATTTTTACATGACTTTGAACATACAGATATCTGGATAGATGCTGGTAGGATCTTGTAATCATCTTCAAACCCATTAAGAGTGACAAGTAGAACAGAACCCTCATGGTTTTCAGTAGCAAGAGTCCATAATTTGCTCAGAGATTTTCCTTGGGTAAGCACAGGGACTGGTGAGCCAGGTGAAGTGTGTGGATGAAGGAGAGAGCTGAGATTGCTTCATCCAGGACATCTAGATTCTCTCAACTTCCAAATTTTTAGCACCTTCTTTCTTTAGCTTAATCTATCAGGTAAAGTCAGCAAAGATATTTATAACCCAGAACAAAATATTTGTATGAACAATTTGCTTTCTTCCCTTATGAATATGCTTTGCTTCTGTCACAACTTACTCACATACACTAGTACGGTTTGAGACATGTTCTGCAGGATCTGCTTATGCCAAGACCCACTGGCAAAGTTCCAGATCGACTCTAAGAGTCTTGAAAATAATAAAGTGGCCACAATGTATTATATACCACGTTGTATCTCCTAATGGTACACTGGAAAAACTGTATCATTTCTACCATCGTCACCTGACATCATGCCTCGTTATTACCCTGATAACTGCCCCAAACTGCCAGGACCTCAGTTGGGTGGTGGAAGCTGTCTACTGTAGCTGATAATATTGACAACAAAGCCCTTAGTCAGTCAATGAAATTATATGAACAAAAGGCTGTAATTAGAGAAAGCCAATTGTCACCTTTCATTTGTGTTAAATGGAAGTTGAGGGTCAGAGGGATCATTGCAGATGTGGTGTTCATCCAATGATATTGATAAGGTAAATGTAATGTGGAGAATCAAGATAGATAGAGGAGAAGGTTACTACTGACAAACTTTCCCCAAATTCTCAAAGTGTGTTCTTTAAAATTGAAACCCCAACCCCATCTTGTTATACCCTTGAAAGCTTATGTTTCTACTATTGTGTTTTCCCTTCTCCAAAAAGTCATATAAAAAAAAAAGCGTCATGAAGCCTTTGACTTCTTTCTTTACATCTGACCTTAATCCATGCTGTTGTGTGTAGCAACAGTTCACTCATTTTTATTGTTGAATGACATCTCCTAACAATAATGTACCAGTTTTTGCAGTTGTCAATCGGCGGTCATTTAGATAGTTGCTTCCAGTTTTATAAGCAAAGTTGTTGTAACTATTTTTTTTGCAAGTTTGGGGGTAAACACAAATTTTCATTTCTATTGGGTTGAAATGGGTTTCTGGATTAATAATTAAACATATCTGTAATGTTATAACAAGTTGATTCTATAGCAGCTGGAATATTTTACAGTTCCACCAGCAGAGCATTAGATTTGGTCATTCATTCCTCCTCCCAGACTTAGTATTATCAGCTGTTTTCACAAAATTTTTTCAGTAGTCGTTTTGTTATTGCATAATATTGACATTTTAACTGATGACTCCTAACACTGTTGTTGATATATTTTTGCCCAATATTTAGCTATCACTTTCTTTTAAAATATTAATCAAATAAAGTTTTTAACTATATCCATTTAGAATTATAATGCTTATGTTATTCCTTAGTGGATATTGACAAACTGTTAGTTATTGCAAAATCACCTTATAATATAACAAAATATTGGGTTTTAAGACTAATTTGTGTTTTTTCTTTCGCGGATGTTGGCTTGCATTAAGTAAACTTCTCTAATTCAATTTATGGTATCAAGCTTCAATTTAAAATATATTATTTAAAATAATGATATTCAAAACTGATGAATTGTCTGGGATGTTGATGAATTTTCTTACATACTCTTTAGTAACATGTTTTATATGCTATATAATCATAGAGACTTAGCAAAGGTTTTAGTAGTCTTGTAATACAAGAAAAGAACTGAAGCCCACCCTGGAGGGATTATCTACAAATGTAAATTAAGATAGCAAGGATGAGATAGATTAGTAATTATATAATATAAAATTATATGTGTACATTTGTACATTCATACCTGTGTGAAGTGTCAATTAAAATTGAAATCTTCAGAGCTGCAAGACTTGGTTTCCAAAATCTTGTTTCTAAAAATCTGGAGGATTAGTGTCTATAGGACTAATTAACCATCATTCTTTAATTTTCTACACGTCCTTCATTTTCTAAAAGCTGCTAAAGTGGTATTTGTCAACTCTAGACAGTAAAAACCAGTTCTTGAAAATATTTTTCACATGCATACAATTTCAGCAGTGAGATCTCTAGAAAATATAGAGTTATGCTATATGTTTTTCATTGGTCCATTTATGTGTCACATGTTTTTTCCTCATTTGGATGTTCAAACTTTGTGTCCAATGCTATCAGAAGCTTCAGATTATTTTCTGGAATGATTTTAGAACTGTTGATTGGGGGAAACCTATTTTCTCCCTTGGTGGGAGAAAACATGCATACAGCATAAAGAAATGTTCCTAGTTAGACATATGAGTTTATATTTTAGAGCAAGAATTGTTTATTTTTCCTCAAGTTTGAGAGCACAGTCCATCATGGTAGAAAGTCATGATTGCAGAAGTGTGGGGTGATCAGCTGCATTGTGTCTACAATCAGGAAGCAAAGAGAGATGAATTCTCAATTCACCTTCTCCTTGTGTTGAGTTCAGGATCCCAGACCATGAAAGAGTATCACTCACATTCAGGGTAAGCATTCCCTCTTCAGTTAAACATTTTTACAAATACCCTAATAGACACAACAGAGGTTTGTTTCCATGGTGATTCTAAATCCAGTCAAGTTAACAAAGAAATTAATGATCACTAAATGGAGCCCAGAGAACAACCACAGGTTCTCAGAGAATATAGGTTTCCATGCGCAGATGGAGAGGGGTGGGGTGGCCTCCTGAACTATGGAAGGACTGACTGGTCTGATGACCAAGATACCCACAAATCAAATGTGTAAGAATCACCCACCTGGTTCATTTTCATATTTCCTCTGAGTTATAAATGCATCTCTCTGATGGCTAATTTGTCTTTCAGGGCAGCACCTGAACTATGTGGACAGTATTCCCTGTGCAGCTCATGAATTTCTTGGCATTGTTTCTAGAGAGGACAGCTCAATCCTCTAGCCGCTTCCAAGACACCAAGACACCTGGCAGTAAGAACTAGTTTAGAATCCCGCATTTGGCTTTGATCATCTAACCCACACATGTTCTTTATTCAGGATTCAGAGTCTGAATAGGGAGACTTGGGTAGTCTCTCATAGACTGATACTTTAGGGTCCATATTGAAATCTGCCACATTTCTCTGAAAACTCTTTCTAGGCTCCTTGGTTTCTGTTAACTAGATTTGTCTGCTTCTAGAAACAGTTTCCTGTATACACTTCACAATCATGCTGTGCCTGAAAATCCAACCCATTTCTCAAGTCACACACAAAGCTGCTTTTATGGGATGGTAAAAGGAAAACTCTGAGAACATGAAACATTCAGCACAAAGAAGAAAGTGTCTCCACATTGGTTATAGGGGCAGTAAGATAATCAAATGAGACTCAAATTATCTAATCCACTTTGATGATGCTTCTGAGAATGCTCTATGATATGTGACTCAAAAAAATTGAAATTAATATAAAAGGAATTTTAGCACACTCACATTATCATACTTTATTTTAGCTAATGTACCTTACAAATTTTGCCTATTTTAGTTTTTTGAGACAAGGTTCCTCTGTGTAGCTCATAATGTCCTAGAATTCACTCTCTAGACCAGGCTGGCCTTGAATTCACAGAGATACACCTGCTTCTGCCTTCCGACTGCTGGGATGCACCATCACTTTCAGCAAACTTAGAATTTTGATGTGTTATTTTCATATTTTTTTTTGTTTTGTGGTACTGAGATTTGAATACAGGGCCTTGGGCATGATAGTAAAATGTTCTACCAAGAGCTGTGTCCATACTCTACTTTCTGTTTGTATCTTCAATAGGACATACATTTTATGAAGATAGTTTCTTCTTCACTACTGGAAGCAACAAATGCATAGATATCTGAGGGACAGCATTGGTACCAAGTAGATATCTATATCTTAATCCAAGAAGAGAGAGAGATAAATTATTTTTCTAAATTTTGCTTTCCATTTAGTTTTTGAATGAACCAATAAGTCTGACTTTTGACCTTTCATCTAGGAATTGACCTGTGTAATTTTACTCATGAAGATAAACTTTGCTGAAACTATAATGAGAAGTAACAGAACCACTTCAGTGACAGAATTCCTCTTTTCTGGCTTTCCCAAGTTTGAAGATGGAGGTGTCCTCTTCTTCATCCCTTTGTTCTTCATTTACATATTCATTGTTATTGGGAATCTCATTGTGTTTTTTGCAGTCAGGATGGATGTTCGTCTTCACAACCCCATGTATAATTTCATCAGCATTTTCTCATTTCTGGAGATCTGGTATACGACTGCAACCATTCCCAAAATGCTCTCTAACCTCATCAGCAAGCAGAGGACAATCTCCATTATTGGCTGTCTCTTGCAGATGTACTTTTTCCATTCACTGGGAAATTCAGAGGGTATTTTGTTGACCACAATGGCTATAGACAGGTATGTTGCTATCTGTAATCCTCTCCGGTACCCAACTATCATGACCCCCAGGCTCTGTGCTCAGCTCTCTGCTGGCTCCTGCATCTTTGGTTTTCTTGTATTGCTCCCAGAGATTGCATGGATATCCACACTGCCCTTCTGTGGTCCCAACCAAATTCATCAGATCTTCTGTGACTTTGAACCTGTGTTGCGTTTGGCCTGTACAGACACCTCCATGATTCTGGTTGAGGATGTGGTTCATGCTGTGGCCATCATCTTCTCTGTCTTGGTGATTGCCATCTCTTACATCAGAATCATCACTGTGATCCTGAGGATTCCCTCTGGCGAAGGGCGCCAGAAAGCCTTCTCTACTTGTGCTGCCCATCTTGGTGTCTTCCTGATGTTTTATGGCAGTGTCTCCCTCATGTACCTGCGGTTCTCGGCTACTTTTCCACCAATTTTGGACACAGCCATTGCACTGATGTTTGCAGTTCTTGCTCCCTTTTTCAACCCTATCATCTATAGTCTGAGAAATAAGGACATGAAGATTGCAATTAAGAAGCTTCTCTGTTCCCAAAGGATGCTGTCTACATCTGCAAGTTAATCTTCTCATAAATGCCTCTCTCTCCAGATTTAACTCCAATATATTAAACCATAAAATAAATTAACACCTAATTCATTCATTGGTACATTGATATTCTTTATATCTTTGTTGAAGATCTTCCTATATTTATTCTGTTTGAACATATTTAGTTTAGATAGCAAATACTTGTCTAGATTATAATGAGGGGTGAAATATACAAAAGAAACATTGTTTTGTAAACATGAACTTTATAAAAAACTATTATGTATATTATATATGTGTTAATAACAAACACAGATTGTAAAATAAAGCACTTAGAATAATATCTATAGATGTCAAAGTTTATACTTAAATGGCACTGCATATTTAAAAAATGATTAGTCTTTTTTATTCTTATTTTCAATGTTTGTAACTTTTAAGTAGGATTTCTTAGATTGTGATCTCATATATTAATTTAAAATTAAGTGAGCTATTCAAAGCTATTTTGGAAAAATGCTAAAAGCAAGTGTTAGCTGCTACTATTTGTCATTGACAATGGTTCAATGGTTTCTTATGTTTTAAGTATTGCTATAATATAAATATATTAAAAGCATATATTTAGGAATCTTATATGTGGCTATTATTTCTATCATTTTTGTTTCTATTAGTTCTCAGTGGCCAGGAATAATTCTATCTTTATTCCCTTTGAAAATTTTGGTTAAATTCATCCAGATTAGTTAGACTTTTCTGTTCAAAATGATCTTGACGTATTTACAAAAAAATTAAAGGTAGATAGATAGATAGATAGATAGTATGAACCACCTGTGAGATGCATTATTTTTATAATATATGGGTTAGATTGCTTTCTACAATTCAAATATAGATTCCTGTATTAATAAAGCAATTAATACTCATGTATTAAAATTTTATTTCACCCCCAAATGCAATTAACATGAAGTTAGGATTACTAAGTATTGAAATTTTTCAAAGATAATAAAGAGTTAAGTATTTAAAATTGCATTAGTATATTTGAGGTGGAGTATTTTAACATTGTGGATGATTTAGGGGCTTAACATATAAAATTCACATATTTTATTTTTTGCAGACAAGCCACACTAAACAAATTCATCAGGTTTTGCATGTATAATTATTCATATATATGTAACAATAGTAACTAAAGAAAAAAATCCTATCATGGAAGGGATGGAGTTTTAATAGCCTGAAATGTCAAATATCCTATTTTTTCAAGAAATGGAAAAGTAATACTAGTTATTTTGAAAAAAACACCAAAACCATTATTTAATTCACTCTATTATGTAGTACACTAATAATCAAAGACATTCACTTGAAAAACATCAACAATGTTACAATAAATAAAGTCAAACAAAAACAAAATATTCTCATTCCTTGGGGGAAAGTGAGTTCGCTCAAGTGATTGCCATCATTTCCTCAGGTGGGAATGCAAGCAAGACCTAAATGAGGAAGGAGCATCTGCTAGATGTTTCAAGAGAAAAGAGAAGAGATCCCAGATGGAAAACTACATTTGAAAGGGATAATCAGAGATTGAGACGTAATGGTCTGTTGTGGAACTCTGGGTGGTTAAAATGAAATCAAAGTTCAAGTGGGGTTTCCCATTTCACAGTTGACGTGTCCACTTGGATTTATGGAGATTAAAAGTCTGAGAAGAAGTCGAAACACACGTTAGAGAAGTGCTGAGGTATTCATTAGCTCCCAGGATGCTAACACATTTGAAACTTGCAAGTTATCACAGCGGGCATCTTCTTCCTAGACTCTGAGACCAGCTTTCATTTTACTATTGGCATTTAGGTCACTGAATTTCATCTTTATATTTTGCAATCAGAAATGTATATTCCCTCCCCCATCTTCTGTTTCTCTCACATTTTCTCCCTTTTGTTTTCAATGCACACACACACAGATCTTCAATCTTCTACCATACCACCTCATGATTTAATAACATTAATTTTGACAATCCAAGTATAGTGTCTGGTCATTAGTTAGATTGCTGGAAAGAAGGATATTTAGGAACTGAAATTAAATTGTTTCTCATGAAACAGACTATTTCTATTCTAAAAAACATTTAAATTGTTTCTCAATTAAAATGTAGACACCCCATGTGCTTCTTACTCACTGCTAACTGCAAAATACCTGCCCGAGTCACATGAGTATATCTACCCAAAGGTTACGGTTTGCTCCAATTCCTCCACATTGTATAATTTACCTAAAGTCTTTAATTACTGCCAAGTAGCCATTGGAAAGCTATACTGCAGAGCTCAGTTGTTAACAAACCCAATAATACACATACTGAGCTGACTTCCCAATGTATATTTTCAGGACAAATCTGCTTACTAAGAAATGTACCTCATGAAGGGGTAGAGATAGTTTATAAGCTATATTCTTAAAGAACAATATATGAACACTAGAAATATTCAAACCAGCAATTATGATGGTTTGAATGAGACTGCTCCCCATAGGCTCATATGCTTGCATGCTTGGACCCCAGTTAGTGGACCACTTGAGAAAAGATTTGGAGGCATGCCCATGTTGGAGGAGGTGTGACCTTGTTGGAGGGGTGTGGTTTTGTTGGAGGGGGTGTGTCACTGGGGGTGAGTTTTGGGACTTCAGACGTCTATGCCAATCCCAGTCTTTCTCTCTCCTTTTTCTGCTGCCTATGGATCAAAATGTAAAGCTATCTGCTATGGCTCCAGTGCAATGCCTATCTGCTCCCCTCTGTGATGATCATGAACTAACCCTTGAAAACTATAACCAAGTTACCAATTAAGTGCTTTATTTTTATAAGAGTTGTTTTGGTTATTTTGTCTTTTCACAGCAATTGAACAGTAACTAAGACAGTAAGGTATCAAAGAGCCCCCTCCCCCGCAAGAACATATTAACTCTTCAGCAGCAGATCCCAAAGAATATGATCCAGACAAGTTCCTAAAGGATTATAGGAGCCAGAGGGGCCAAGGTCACCCTAGGAAAACAGCCCACAGAATCAATTAAACAGGACTCATAGGAACTCATAGAGGCTGAAGTAACAGCCATGGAGCCTGCATAGGTCTGCTCTAGGTCCTCTGAATTTGTGTTAAATCTAGATTGGTGTTCTTGTGGGACTCCCAACAGTGGAAGTAGGGGTGCTCTCTGATTCTTTTGCCTGTTCTTGGGAACCCTTTTCTCCTACTGGATTGCGTCATCCAGCTTTCACATAACAACATGTGCCTTGTCTTATTTTTACCTGTTATGCCATGTTTAGTTGATATCGGGCTGAGAGGCTTGCTCTTTCTGAAGGGAAAAGGAAAAAGAGTGGACTTGGTGAGGGGGGAGGTGAGGGGAAGAACTGGGAGGAATGGAGAGAGGGGAAACTTCAGGCAGGACACAATATAGGACAGATGAATTTGAAAATAGAATAAAGAATAACTATCAACAATAACTAAAATAGTACAATTAGTAGAGATAGATGAAATTAGAAAAGGAATGAATTTTATGATTCTGATTTTATGATTCTGAAATTTAACAGAGAATTTGTGGTTGTTATTGTTGTTGTTTTTGTTTTGTTTGCTTATTTTGTTACTTGTTTTTTGGAGACAGGGTTTCTCTGAGTAGCTCTGGTTGTTCTGGAACCCACCTTGTAGACCAGGCTGGACTCAGACTCAGAGATCTGCCATCCTTTACCTCCCAAGTGCTAGAATTAAATATGTATTCTATCACTGCCTCATTTAACAAAGTACATATGAATAAAAAGCTCAATAAGCAAAGTAAAAACCATAATCGAAGCTTTCAATGACATACCAGACTAAACCTAAAGATTTCCTGGATTTTAGGAAGGCCTTTTGACATATACCAGCCAGACCTAAAAAGAAAAGAAGAGGAGGAAATACAGGAGGAGGAAAAAAAGGGTGAAGATGTGGGGAAAGAAATAAGGAAAGGAAGGGATGGGAACAGAGAGAGATATACAGCTCACAAAAAAACAATAAAGAAAGGAAGAAAGAAAAAAGGGGGGAATAAAAGAGGGAGAGAAAATATTGATCTAAGAATACAATAGTGGTGACTATTGAGACAGATCAGGCTAGAGGAACTGAAATATGAAGTTTAGAATTGATCAATGCACACTATAATTATGTTTTGAAATACCACACTGAAATTCACTGTTAACATGCTAATTAAGACATACTAATCAAGCTAAACTACAATTATTATTTAAAATTCAATGACATTTCAAATTTTTTATTATTTTGTTTTTATATCATATGATTTTATTTTTCAGATATTTTTATTAATACTTTGGGAATTTCATGTAGCATAATTTTATGGTCTTCTCACTCACGAACTATTCACAGATCCACCCTCTTCACTTTCCCCTCCCTTTCACCTTTCACCTCCCTACCCTCCCAACATCAAGGTTTGTTTTTGTCTTCTTTGTTATTTTGTTTTGTTTTAAACTCATCAGGTTCAATTTGTTCAGCTCAGCTACTCTCCGGGATGGAGAATGCCCTAGAGTGTACTAATTTATCAAGGGTCACGTCATTAAAGAAAGCAAGTCTCCCTCTTCCCTCTTCCAGAAGCTGCCAACAGTTCTTCAGTCAGTGGTGGCAGCTTCTGCACACCTCCTGCCACCCATGCTCAGATTTTGTTGGGCTCCTGAGCTTGTACTGGTCTTGTGTATGTTGTAACAATTGTATGAGTTCCTATGTGCAATCTTCCTTGCTGTGTCCTTGTGCTTTGGACATCTCGGACTCTTGCAGTCTTTCTGCTCCTCTTTCTTGAAGGTCTCTGAGCCTTGGAGAAAAAGGTATGATATGTAAGTCCTTTAGTCTTGCACACTTCATGGTCTCTTATTTTCTGCATGTTGACTAGATGTCAATCAAAAGATAAACAGGTAATGAAAATGTGACAAATTTACACAATGAATATCATTCAATTGGTGAGAAAAATAAAATTGTAAGAGCCAGCAATATTGCAATTTTGCCTGATGGCCCAGTTCCGAGCTAAGGGAATATGGACCGTTCATCACATTTCAACTGTAGTGGCTGTGACAGACAAAGACATGCACTGCTGTGAAGGGGGAAC